ATCACATTTAGTTATTTGTTTTATCTTTTATATGAATTTATAATTAAATAATAATATTATAAAAAAGGTACATGTTCGAGTTATTTACTTTTTTAAAAAAATTTTTTGAAGTACTACCTTCAGTCCTAATTATAAAATTTTATTTGTAAACTATAAATAAGGTCTTATAATTAAAACTGAATATAATAATTGTTAGGATTTTATATTTAAGATAGAATGGAGTAATTAAATTTTCTTGCAAAAGTGTTTTCATATATTATTCTTATATTAAAAAATGAAAAGCCTAGCAATCAACAAAAATATCAAAATTCCAAAAGTTTTCACCAACGGTGAATGAATCTCAACCACACGATCTTACGTGTGTTAATCGAATCGGAGCCGTTGAAATACTAGACATCGGGCTTACTAATAGTCAACACTCTGTCAACTTTCCCGAAAAAGAGAGCGTCTTTCCTCCTTTGTGAGACTCGCTCCCCACTTCCACCTTTCCCCTCTGCTTCTTCACCTCATTCATGGCGGTGACGAAGCTTTTCTCTCTCTACATTTTCATGTTCACATTCTTATTCTGCAGCCACTACAACGACAAATCTAGTGCCTTTGCAGTCTCTTTGCCGCCTTCTTCATCTTCATTTTCTTCGGATGTCGAGCTTCTCTTGGGTAAAATCAGAGCTACCCTTCAAGGTAACGCCGATAACCTCGTTTTGTCTTCATGGAATTCCTCTATACCGCTTTGCCAATGGAGGGGACTCAAATGGATATTCGCAAATGGCTCTCCCCTGTCATGCAATGACTTGTCTTTACCCCAATGGACTAATCTTTCGCTTTTCAGAGACCCCTCTTTACATTTACTCTCTCTTCAGCTTCCTTCTGCAAATCTCTCTGGTTCGCTTCCTAGGGAGCTTGCAGAGTTTCCTATGCTTCAGAGTCTCTACCTCAACATCAATTCGTTGAGAGGGACAGTTCCTATTGAGCTTGGGTATAGTTCCTCACTCAACGATGTCGTTTTGGATGACAATATGTTGAGTGGAGCTTTGCCACCATCGATCTGGAATTTGTGTGATAAACTCGTTTCTCTTAGACTCCATGGCAACATGTTTTCCGGGTCTCTTCCTGAACCGGCATTGCCTGAATCTTCTTGCAAGAATATGCAATTTCTTGATTTGGGGAACAACAACTTCTCTGGGGTTTTTCCTGAATTCATCACACATTTTGGTGGGCTGAAGCAGCTTGACTTGGGAAATAATATGTTTACGGGTTCAATTCCTCAGAGCTTAGCTGGGCTAAATAGGCTAGAGAAACTGAATCTTTCTCACAACAATTTTAGTGGGGTTTTACCTACTTTCGGTGAATCATCCAAATTTGGTGTGGAGGTTTTTGAAGGAAATAACCCTGGCTTGTGTGGGGTACCTTTGAGAGCTTGTAGTGGAACTCCTAGATTGAGCTCTGGTGCAGTTGCTGGAATAGTTATCACTCTCATGACTGGAGCTGTGGTTTTAGTTTCTTTGCTTATTGGGTATATGCAAAATAGAAGGAGGAAGGGTAAGGGAGATAGTGAAGATGAATTGGAGGAAGATGAAGATGATGATGAAGAAAATGGTGCTATAGGCGGTGGTGAAGGTAAGCTTATGTTGTTCCAAGGTGGTGAGAATTTGTCATTAGATGACGTGTTGAATGCGACGGGACAAGTTATGGAGAAGACATGTTATGGGACTGTTTATAAGGCAAAGCTTGCTGATGGAGGAACCATTGCTTTGAGGTTGTTGAGAGAAGGTAGCTGCAGGGACAGGGCTTCGTGCTTGCCTGTTATTAAGCAATTGGGAAGGATTCGTCATGAGAATTTGATTCCTTTGAGAGCCTTCTATCAGGGGAAGAGAGGAGAAAAGCTTCTTATTTATGACTATCTTCCTCTCAGAACTCTTCATGATCTCTTACATGGTATGTTCAACGCGAAGTCACATGCTATTAGTTTCTCTTGAGTACTTTTACTTTCCTTAGGTGCATATGCTTACATGGTATCTTCTATTGCAAATCACTTTCATTTTTGGCTTGGAGTGCCCTGGTTTTGTTGTCCAGTGTCTAATTTGATCGAAGATTTCTACAATTCAAAGCATTCATGTAAGACTTGGAACTATCTCAAAATTAAAATTGAAATGTGGAGAGATTATTTCTTCAGCCTTAGGAGAAACGTAAATGCCCAAAGATGGAAAAAATGCTGTCCAGGGAGACCATGTGGGTTAATTACTTGCACTACTTTCAGTTGGATGAAATACCTCCTATAATTTTATTCACAAGAGGAAGATGATTGGCTATTCAATGAGGGGACACTGGTCTAGTGTCATGACGTTTTTAACGTTGTCCTGTTAGTGTGATCCCAATAAGCCCATAGCGTGGGTTGTGTAGGTGTTGTTTTATTGTATTTTCCAATGACAATGTTTCCTTGACCACCATTTCTGTTTATCTCACTTTTGCTAAACAATCACTCTGAATGTAGTTTTTTGATAGTTTATGTAGCAAAAGTTATAATTCCATTAGAAAGAAGCCAAAAAAGGGTTAGCCTTTATCCTTCTGGAAATGGGGGACTGGATTCATCGTTGACCATTATCCTATCTATTAGTAGAGTCACTTTTTTGTGTTCACTGAACAGCTTGATGTATTGTGTTTCATTTTCTTAGAATTTTTTTTTTAAAAAAGAAGGACTATAAATTGCAAATGGTTGATGAAGTTAAATATCTTGGCATTGACCATAGTGTTATAATTTTGCCATCCTACAACAGAAACTAAAGCTGGAAAGCCAGTGCTAAACTGGGCCAGGCGACACAAGATTGCATTGGGAATAGCCAGGGGACTAGCATATCTTCATACAGGACTTGATGTTCCAATCACTCATGGAAATGTACGATCCAAGAATGTGCTAGTTGATGAGTTCTTCGTTGCCCGGCTCACTGAGTTTGGGCTGGACAAGCTGATGATTCCTGCTGTAGCTGATGAAATGGTGGCACTTGCGAAAACAGATGGCTGCAAGGCTCCAGAGCTTCAAAGGATGAAGAAATGTAACTCGAGGACCGATGTTTATGCGTTTGGGATATTACTGTTGGAGATATTGATAGGGAAGAAACCAGGTAAGAACGGGAGGAGTGGGGAGGTTGTGGATCTGCCTTCCATGGTGAAAGTGGCAGTGTTGGAGGAGACCACAATGGAAGTGTTTGATGTGGAGCTTCTGAAAGGGATAAGGAGTCCAATGGAAGATGGGTTGGTGCAAGCACTGAAGGTAGCAATGGGATGTTGTGCCCCAGTGGCTTCAGTGAGACCAAGCATGGAGGAGGTTGTGAGACAGTTGGAGGAGAATAGGCCTAGAAATAGGTCTGCTTTATATAGCCCTACAGAAACAAGAAGTGGCAGCGGCACCCCTTTTTGAATGTGAATTTTACATTCCAGTATGCCAATTAGGTTACGTCCGTTTATTCTGTGCTGTGACTGTTTCGGATTTGGATTTTTTCTTCTTCTTTCTCTTCATTTTTTTCACTAGATTTTGGAAAGAGATAGACAGTCAGAGTATTTGTGATCTGTTTAAATAGTAGATATGTGACTCTTTTGAGTGATAGTGTCCATAAATTTCATGTCTATCTCTCCCTGAAATGGATGAGAAATGGTTGGAAGGAATTGGAAAGCATTTAAACTCGTATGCATCTTATTTTAAAGCAATTTTAGTCTATGATTTTTCTTTTACTGAAAATTTGGAGAATGTATTTATAGAAATAGATGATCTAATCTCATTAGTGAGTGTCGTGATGAGCATAATCATCTTGACAAACTCATTTTAGTACTCTGTAAACAGTGAATGCTATTATCATATATTGTTGGGTTGAATTTTTAAATCTTAGAGTAGTTAGTTATTTATCAAACTTCGAATTACTGTATTACTTATTTCTAGTATTACAAGAATATAATATCTTAAAATGAAAGTACGAAAGGACTTGATGTATCTACCTGAATGATCACATGTTAAAGAGGTGCTCATGTGCGTCCTGATCTCTGTACCATAATCTGAGTCATTTTAACTTGGCATAAGGAGGTAAGGAATCAAGCTAGACTGGTCTTGTGTCTTGTAGGATACTTAAGACAAGTTGCATTTTAATTTATAGATAATGCAATTTGGTATAAATTTTATTATATATATTGATATTGATATAGTCGGTCATTATGGCTTTTTTTTTTTTGTTTAATAGTGACATTTTTCAATTTAATCAATATCAATATGTATTATTCAAAAATTACAAATAAGACAATTTATTCTTCATACTCTGGACTAATTAAAAATGTCTATATATAATAATTCTTGTGACACCTCTACAAAATAATTCATGCATGTAATCAATCATATTCAATATTGACTAGCCATGTTAAAAGCTAAAAGGATGTAATTAAATGTTCAAAATACTTTCAGGATGTATAAAACTATCTATAGAGCTAATATAAATATCAAATGTATTCTAAAATAAAAAATAACTTAAAATTACAAGGCGAGGGGGCAGGAAAATTAAACTTGGATTTGAAGAAAATACACAGCTAACCATTATAGTAGTACGTCTCTCCTCTACTCCCTTGGTTCATCTCATTTGAAATAAACCAAGAAGTTTTTTTTTTTTTTTTGCCTAAAGAAGGTCATACAATAATAATCAAAGAGACGAGTTCTGTAGAATCTGCTTCCCTTGGAAATGACGAAGCAGAAAGAATATCCAGAAAGTTGGCGAAACTAATGGCTTCTTCAATAAAAGCATTGTTATCAATTTGACAACAACTGGGACGTGTAAAATTTACATTTACACGGTTTCTCCCAACACCTTAATGGGAAGGACAAACAGGGGATGTGACCTCAAGTACGGCCTCTTACTCTACATATCTATAATCATGCAATTTTCACGTAGGAGAAAGAATGAAAACTACTTATTTTCTTCCTTTCTCCATTTCATTGATCCTTTTTTTTATGGAGTTTTGTGGTTTTAACAGGTGAAGCCCCTGCGACAGGTAAGAACACCAGCTCCATAAGTAATAACACCAACCATAGAAGATGACTTGGCCCCTAAACTGGAGGCTCTGGCATAGCTTGCAGAAGCACCCGCTCCTGATGAAGTGAAATAGGCTCCATTTAACATAAGGTCTCCCGTTGACCTCCAATTCCAGTGCTTCCATATCCTAGCGTCTGTGCCTACTCTCTTCGTCACCTGGCCACATACCAAGTATCATATATTACTCCTCTATAGTCTATATATAAACTGCCATGTCTCTGCCAGTAAAATTCACGGTTCAAGATTTTACCTGCTTCGCAAAACGGTTTCGAGGGGCGAGGTATCGGTTGCCCTGGCTGTTAATCGTGGGATCAGCACTTCCACCAATTGCATACATTTCCCAGTGGGTATAGTCATTGTTTACCACATGGAAATACCCGTGTCTGCACCTGTATAACCGGAAAAGTTCGCCTCCATTATTGGTATAAGTTTTAGCAAAGCAATTAGATTATTTTCACATCAATTCTGTCGTCTTGTCGCAACAGTAGCTTAATATTAAAATGTACTTGTATTAGGGAATAGGCATTTGGAAAACTAAAAGACAACACCATTGCTATTACTATTACAGTTATCCACATTACCATATGACTGATCACCGAACAGAGTGGAGACTCTGGGGAAAGAATAGGCCTAGATACTAAAACAGTCATTAAAGTTTATTGGTAATCCTCTAGTAACAAGGCTTGTGGTCCATCTTACATATCATCTGCCTACAAGCTCAGGAAGACTGCCAGTAATTGAGTTTTCTTAAAAGGAATGTTACCTCGGCATTCTCTGGATAAGACCTTCCCCAAAATGATTGTAGGCAATGGTTACTTGCATCTGCTTATCCCTTACATATGAATCACTGTGGCCCAGTAGCATAACCTGCATAATTGAAAAGCTATAAGTATGTATAATCTTAGGGCCTATTTGGGAGGGCTTAAGAAATTCTCTGTAAGCACGTTTTATGTAAGTCGAGACAAAAATCCTCTCACATACTTGTCTCGTATTTTATAAATCATTATTGAAAAGCTGCTTATAAGCTCTTTAATCTTTATAAGCTGTTTTAAACGGGTCCCTAATCCTAGAAATAAGAGGGCAAGATGAGAATCGATCACCTCATTGTGGTGGGTGAAGTAATTGTTGGAAATGGTAATAGCAGTGGAACCCATAATTGCATCAATAAGGCCATCAGCGCACTTAGACAGTGAGTTATGGTCAATCCAAATGTGGCTTGAAGCAAAGATGGAAATCCCATCTCCATCAGCCATACTTCTCCAACCATAATGAGTTGGTGAGCTACGAACCAGTGCATTACCAGTGCGTTTGCAGTCATGGATATGTAAACCATGGATGATGATATTAGTGACGAATTGTATAGTAATGCACGCCCCATAGGCAATGTGCACATTCACTCCACGACCATCTATGGTCTTGAAACTGTTCATGATAAGCTCTTGCTTTAAAGTGATAACCATGTCCCTCTTGAACACAATCCACAAGGGTCTGTCTTGAATAACAGCGTAGCGCAGGGTGCCTGGCCTTGGGTTGACAGGGTCATCATCCCTTGGATCCGTCACAATATAGAACCTTCCATCACGGCCACCAATGGCATTACGTCCAAAACCAATTCCACAATTGGCCAAACGCTTTCGCCGTCTGTGCCAAAGTTTGTCACAGCGCCAGCAGTCATCAATTGGATTTCCGGTCACACATGAGAAGAAACCCAGATTCCTTCTCTCAGTATGATTACGTATGCTCCTGTTAAATTCAAAGTCACCGACATAAGTGAAATTAATGCTAGAATTATAATATCTTATTTGTTATTTAAAGTATTCGCATTGATCTACTAATATGTTTGAAGATATGTCAGAACGATCCGAGAAAAAATAAATGAATAATTCACGGAAAGTCAGAAGGGAAGCATGTGTTACTATTTAATTACAATGCCCCACCAAAAGGAAAGTCCAGGGGGTCATGTGGGTCTGCAATAATGCATACGGATAGAATGATACGGTCGATACGGAAACTGGGGGGTTGAATATCTGACCTGAAATTTCTCTGGCAATAAATAAATGCCAAAGGTGGGGGAGGAACAACTAATTTCTGCTTACTACTTGAGGGTGTCGGTGGTGATGGCCAAATAATTAACTTGAGTCATTTGATAAGGTTCTCTGAGATAGAAGATGCTGGATCAGCTATAAGCTAAAATACATACAACTGTGTGTCACTCTGTGGAAAGAATGATGGAGAAACCAGATCTCTTCTGCAGTTTGGAGTGTAGGCTTATAAGGACAGGCTGGAGAGGGAAAGCCCATTCCTTTGGGTTACCCCACCTTGTTGGAAGATGCGGGAACTTCATAAATTCCTTACAGTCTGAACTGGCCATTGTATTTGGTCATTTGGGTGGAGAAATCATGAAGGCAATCAATTAACAAACAAGAGATCTTTTTGAGTTTTTCTTTTTTACTGATTCAGCCAGTGTTGGGAAAATGAATGATCGAGTTAGATATAAGGGTGTTGCAGTTGCATGAGTATCTTAGAGAACCCAACATTAGGCCATAGAATTCTCGGTGAATTGGCCAAATACCAACAGAATTGCAGAAAATCACAGCAACCATAGAATCAGAGCCAAATTTAGACGAAAAAGTTGGTAAGAAAAAATACAGTGATTTCACCGACCGTCTATCAATGAAAATATAATTAGTGAAGCAATTAATGGTACTAGCAATGTAAGGAGTGAGAGTGTCTGCTGGATCAACAAATCTGGAATACTGAGATTATACATATGAATAGGATATTCGGGCCAAGAAATAAAAGCAGAAGCCTAAAGCTGGTATTTAATGACAACAAACGATTTCTTTTTTTTTTTTTTTTGGGGCCATCAATTGACATCAAAAGATTTCAAGTCAAATGTAACTATGTTTAAAATTAAGTAATTTATTGAACTAAGAGATAAAACATAAATAATAGTGTGATTGAGCGATTGATAATTCTAAGAACATAAAAAAACGAACTGATATATAAGTAGGCAAGATAGGTTGACTTAAAGTCACTCAAACAGCGCTTTTGGTATTGGAAAAGGCATCTGTACTTGGAGATGATATTCAGATAAGGGGAAGAAAAAGACAAGAAATTAATATTATGAGCGACAGGGTCGGATCTCGGGACATAAGCATGTGGTTAAAGCTGGCATATATAATATAAAGGTTCTAACTTTCAATAGATCTCGTTCCGCAAACAGCATGGTGCTTCCTTGGAGCTTTGAAGGGCAACTTCACAATGTGAACGTTTAATTTATTAATTAATTAAAGCCATATTTATATTTCCATATTAAATGAGGAAAAAAACAGAGGCCCAAGGGATCCCATATTGCATTTACTTTCGTATATTTAATATATGTGGAGTTTCATTAAATGGGTCCCGGATTATGAACTCTAATAATTTTACCTGTGTGAGTGGGGAACTGGTGTTCTTCCTAGGTAATTAATCTTCATCGTTTAATGATTCTGCTTTAAACGGTCGATGGTAATTTTTTTTATCAGTCCAGCCAAGCATGTGGCTTCTTATCAAAGGAATTGGAAGAAAAAGAAAACAGAATTTTTCTGGCTTTGATTTAAACACTTGACATGTTGGACGCTGGTTTCTTAAAGGCAATATTGACGAATAAGGACGAAAACGGCATGTTTTCTGAGCCCAAAACACGTATAAACTAATCTACCAAGCACATGACCCTAGTAATAGCACAAGGGAACGAATAAAAAAAAAAAGGAATTTGTGTAATTATAAAAATAATAACGAAAGAGTTAGTAATAATTTCATGGGTGTTTAAAAAAGTAATTAAAGTGAAAAAGCCCAGTCTTCACACACAGAGAGAGAGAGAGAGAGAAGATTTCAGTAGAGAGAGATTACATATCAACCATGGAAGCTATCTCCTCCGGGTCGTCCACTGCGTGTTCATTTAGAGCATCATCTAGCCTGAAAAATGACAAGAATATTGTATCAAGAAACAGATGTAGCAACGACACCGCTCTGTGCTCTATTGACTGGTTAACAAATTTGCAGGTGGTAAAGACCAAAGAGTAAAGCCATTGTCATGAGCTGCGACCCAGCGAGTAGAAAAGCATCAAGACTGAAATGAACTGATTAACAGCTGAGATCCGATCTGAAGGGCTCAGATTGTTCCTTTTCTGAGATACACTACTGATTCATATCTCGAATATAGTACATCTCAACAAAACGGTTATTTGGCAATTGGTATCCAATTCCACGTGAACGGTCATTGCCGTCATTGAGAATTCAAACCGGAAGCTTAAAAGTCCAACGAAACGGTGATTAATTGTACTAACCTGTCCGCCATTGATGAATTCTTCAAACTCTGCAACTCCTCTGTTTCTACATTCCTGTTCCAGCCAAGAACAACCATGTCACAAACTCATTGACTGATCACATTGTAATGCGTCAACAAACAAAGCGCTAAAGTGTCTTAAGATTCGAAATGAATCAAAGTTCTCTGAAGCTCATGAAACACAGAAGAAAGCTGTGATTTCTCGTTGCTGGTTGATTGTTACCTTGACTGTACAAGACGGCCTTTAGCATTATCATCTCCATTCAATGGCTTGGCGCTAGATAAAAGCAGCGCCACAGTCAGAACGAAAAGGATGAATGGCATATTCAGAGAAACCTCCACCATTATTGCTTCTGCTCTCTCTCTCTCTGTGTGCGTATTTTCCTCTGTTTTTTGAGAAAAAGATGAAGGAGGAAGCAGGGAAGGGAAAGGAAAGAGCGAGAGAGAAAGGGGAGGGAGGGATTGGTTATATAGCACAGGAGAAGAGAAGGCAGGGGAGGAGAGGAAGAGGGAGATGGGAAATGTTAACGTGTACTTGGGGCCTAACCCGAGAGAGTAACCATGGTTAGGTTAATTAACTAACTTCCCAGCCGGCCCCTAACCGTCATTAACTGATGCTTGTTTTCCTTCTCTTGCTCTTCGCGCTCTCTGTCTCTCTCCCCGCTACGTGGCAATCACATGTTTGTCACTTACTGGCGTATTTCTCCCGTTTAAAATTACTCCCTCCGTTCCTTATTATAAGAGACATTTGATGCTTATGGCATATTCCTATATATAAGAAACATTTAAAAGTTATCTCTACTTTTTTGTATTGATTTCCTATTTTACTCATATTTATTATCTCCAACTCACATTCTCTCTCCCTCCCACTCTCTTTCTTTTAATAATTTAATTGTTCTCTCTCATGCTCTCTCTCTCCTTATTAATAAGGGTATTTTTGGAAAAAAATTATACTTTTTACACATTAACTGTTTTTAACTAATTTTAACTGTTTTTTTTATCAACGTACTTCGGTTATTTATCTCTTATAATAAAGAACAGAGGGAGTATAAGGTTAAAGGAATAGATACGTAGAGTTTCTCACTTAATATCGCCTCACTCAGAAGTGTTAAAAAGGGAACCTTGTCGCTCTTATGAGATAAAACTGTTAATGATACATGCTAATTTTTAACCATTAATGTTAGTTTTGTAACTACTAAAATATTACTCCTTTTCTAACATTTAAGATCTAATTTTATACCTTTTGATTTTTGAATTTTCAATATTTTCTGTCAACAGAAAGATTTTTAAGAGTTTGACATTGCTTTTATTTTGTGGTTATTGTGGGGAATGTGGGAAAAATGGAATGATAGAGTCTTCAACGCCAAATTTCGAGATTATCGTGGAGTTTTATTGAAAGTTTGCAAAGAAGCCATGGAGTTTTGGTCTGCCTTAAACCTTACTAACCCTAAGGACGATAAAGACCATTTCTGATGGATAGGGTGCACTACTTCCCATAATGGATGCTTCAAAATTAATTGTGATGGGACTTTCAAAGTTAAGGATGGGTCAGCTGTGATTGGCCTCATCTATCGTGATCATAAGGGAGAATTTGTTTAGTCTTTTGATGAGATGGTAAGCGCGCATTCTACTTTTATTATTAGTTGTTGATAGTCCAAAAAGCTATCTTGCTAAGTGAGGAATTAAATCTCCAATAGGTCATCATTGAATATGATAATATAGATTTAATTGATTGCTTTACTTGTTCTTCTTACTCTAGATGTATGTGGGCAGGTTAGCATCTGCTTAAGGATATTTTGGAGATAATAGCTTCTCAATCTGGTATTTGTTTTTCATTCTCCTTACGAGAGGGGAATGTTGCTACTAATTTTCTAGCAATCTCAATTCGTAGGAAGGTATGTCCTCTGCGGTGAGTTGTGAGGGCTTGTGATGGTATTGGTTGATCTGTTTTAGTTGTCTAACTTTTTCTTTAACTTTGCATTGTTTGCTTTTGTTTTCTTTCTCCTTATTTTGCTCTGTACTAGTTTAAAAAAAACAGATAAAAAAAATTTTCTAGACACGCTACCTTGGTCATGGATAAATAGTCTTCGACCCAAAATTATAAAACGGAAAAATTCTAGAAAAAGAATTTTCAAATTGGTTTTTTTTTTTAATTCAGGTGCTGAACACTTTAAAATGGTAGAGAAGGAAGTAAACCCAAATTAAAATTTTGAAATCTAAGAAAAATGACAAAAACACCTTTTGTAAATAACAAGTCGTGACATAACGTCTCAATTTATGATTAACACCATATTTTTTTTTTATACATAACATGCGAATTAGTTAAAAAAATAACAATTTATCTGAGAATAACAAGTTCTTATTGTGAAATTACAAATCTTGATTTAAGATTAGGAACACATTTTTTTAATGGAATTAACAAAGAGGCATTTTTGTCATTTTTCTTGGATTTTAAACTTTTAATTTGGGTTTACTTCCTTCTTTGTTATTTTGAAGTGTTAGGTGCCTAAATTAAAAAATACTAATTTCAGAGTTCTTTTTCTGAAATTTTTTCTTATAAATTTTTTTTATTTTTATTTTTTGAACAAATACAAGAGTCTTGAAACATTTAATATTTTATGTTGAATACAGAATAATATTCAAAATAATACACCACATTTTTTGCCAACAAATTGCAATACTACATACAGGAAAGAGTTAATATGTTTTATGTGATTATTATTTCCATATGACAATATTACAAATAATATTTTGTCTGTAACTATTTGATATATAATATTATTTAAAGGAAAATAATTAAGTCAAATTTTTATATTTATTATGTTAAGTTTTCCAATCATATAAGGTCACATGTCCTATTTTATTTATGTGAGTTTATAATTAAATGATAATCTTTTAAAAATAAGATACATGGTCATATTTAATTGAATAACTTCACATTTATAATCTTTGTTTTTTTTTTTAACCGAAGAATATAATCCTTGTTTGTACTACCTTAAAGGTGTGAATAAGATGTTTTTTATTTCCTGTAAACTTTGTGTTTAGGATTAATTAATAGAAAATTTTCTATTCCCGAAAAATGTGTCATGTTCTTGAAAGGAATTTTCAACTGACAGTTTTTTCCCTCATCGTCGGTGTTAATTTATTTCTACAATATGTTTTGGGGACACATTAGTCCTTTTAATTAGTACGGCAATTTATATTTATTTACACAGTACATGTGTCTGGTTCCCGTTCATGCCGGTCATTCCCTGTATTATTGTTATTATTATATTCCGCCTCAAGAGTGTCCATTCGTAAGTAGCAGAGCATGATCAAAGTTTCCAATTATGCTGTCAACATGAAGATTTTGTTAGTAAATAATTTATAAATATTTTTACGAGTATTTTTTGAATTTAAAAACTTTCTTTAGTTTTGATGAGTTATTAGAACCCAACTCACCTAATTTTCTTTTCATAAAAAAAAAATTCTTTGATTCACTTAAACTTGTCCGCTTCATATAAAAACTTGTACAACGGACTTTTACATATATATATATATATATATATTCAAAGACAGTCATGTAAAATATTAAAAAATATATAAATATATAGATATGAAATGTCACCTGAATTTTACTTTAAGTTCAATTTTCTTAATAAATACTTTTTTTAATTACAATTGGTCTAATAATCTAAGGATCGTGATGTTTATAAGGCCACTAGTGATGCAATGTACAATAACGGACATAAAATCATACTACCTCCGTTTCTTAATATATTCATTGTATCTAATAAATTTTAACTAACTTTTTTAATTATGTAGTTCAATTGTTTATATTTTATATATAGATTCTGGAGTAGTACAAATTTGTACAATTATCTATTTATTTATGAGATTTGAATTTATATAATACTACCTCCAGTCCTAATTACAAGATGTTGTTTGTAGTCTACAAACAACATCTTATAATTAAGACCTGAGATAGTAACATTGTTTTGGAGTCAGCCAATCATGTATTATGGGGTTTTGTAATTTTTTAATAAATAAGAAATTAATAAGTGAGTAAGAGTATGCTTTTGCGAAAAGATACAAAAGCATTTAGATAAGATTATTGTTTGTAGAGCTAAAAAGGGAAACTGAAATGATATACATATATTTATATATATATATATATATAATATGAATAAGGAGCTAAATTAAAATGGAAGAATTGGCATGAGAAGACAACACATAGTCTCGTCGTAGAAGCTGGATTTTGAAACGTAGAAGGAAAGCATCATGCACGTTGAAGAACCATAACTCATTAATTCCCAATCACATTAATAATTCAGCAAAACTTTTGAGTACACTTTTATATATGCTAGCTTCAAATTCTATTATTTTCGGTCTTAAATATAAAATATAGTTTATAATTCAATTTGCAGTGCAAATTAGATCTCATATTTAAAACTCGGGGTAGCATAACTTTGTTTATCCACACCATATACAACACACATATCACACACACCCCATTTGTAGCATTTGTTTTTTTTTGGTAAAACCCATTTGTAGCATTTTATTACATATGAGCAAATTTAATAGAATTATACTACCTCTGATCTTTAATATAAGAGCTAATTTAATTTTTAATTTACTCATAAATATAAGAGTTTAATTTATTTTGTCTCTCATATTTATTTATTTTTTTAAGGTAGTCCTTGTAGTAGTTGTACATGTTAAATATTTTGTTAAATGTTAATTTTAGCCAATATACTTGATTAGTAAAGATATTTTAAGAAAGACATCACCTATTTATTATAAATAATCAACTTAACTAATTTTTTAATTTACTCAAATTAGTAAACTAGCTCTTGTATTAAAAATAAGAGGTTAAAAAATTGAGAAAATTCCTTTGAAGTGGAAGAAAAGTACTCCTCCGGTCCTTAATATAAGACCCATTTAACTAATTTGATTAGATTAAGGAAGTTAGATAAGTTAGTTAATTATAAGAAATATGACACGTTTTTCCTAAAATACCATAATCATATTTCTTTATACCTTATCTTTCTCTTCTACTTGATTATGGTTGAAAGGGTATCCATAGGGGTAATTTAGAGATAATTGATAAATATGAGAAATGGGTCTTATATTTAGGACCAAAACCAACTCACCAATTGGGTCCTATATTAAGGATCGGAGGAGTATATACAAACTATATGTGAAAAGAACTCAAATTAAATACTAAACTGAAAATATAGCAATGAGAGTTAAGCTTTTTATTTTTTCCAAAAGAAAAAGCCATCGCAAACTCAAAGGAAAATTTACAAGTCAGAACATAAAAACTACTCTAAATATAACTATAACAGCCGCATATCGATGGTCAAATTAAAGTGTCAACCAAGC